CTTCAAGCCTTGGTCTCTGAATCACCTTCAAACCCCTGTCCCAATTCTTAAGGTCCTGGTTTGTACTGCTCTTAAGCTGCGACAACTGACATGCATGCATGCACTTGCATCGCATCATCCAGTCATTGCATGAAGGTGTCAGCAGAGGCGAGCAATGAACCTCCGCTTTCAGGTGTAATAACCATGAGATTGAAATGGCCTACGTAAAGATATGTGGCACAATACGATGCAAACACATGCCATATCGCATGAGATTTAGGTAATGACAATTGATTGCATTCCAATGTTCCTAATATCACCGGTTTCTAGAAATTCCCCAGTACCCCCAAATCTCCCTATATATTTAACCCATTTTACCAACCATCATTCCAAAGCCCTCCATATTAACAACAATATTCCCAACTCCATAACCCTGCAGGCACTTCCCCAACAACTTATTCCATGGTTCCCTTCCCACCGCCCTCTTTCAGCTCACCAACCTCACTGATCTGTAGGCCTCTTTTTGAGTGCGTCCTTGCCTTGAGGTTCTTACACCCCTCCCTACTGCGAATCACATTTCTGTATTATTGTTTACCGGTTAACAGACCTATGAGTTCACATTTCAAGCATAAGAATCCACGAGTTTACATATTCGTGAGTTTATGCTCTCTGCTCTGCATCACTGACAAGTTCCGCAAGCCTATTTCAGAAAAATGATATCGATGCCGTTGAGTGAAAGAAAATATGAGCTTATATTTGGCATTGACAGTTCCATCCCATGGTGCGCTGCTCTGGTGTGGCTCGTGCTTCTCCAGAAACTTTGGCAATACCTCCTTGTCGGGACCCATCCCTTCGGAGATCAGCAATCTTGTGCAGCTAGTGTGGACGTAAGCTTGGTGCCTCGCGCGCGCGCGGTTACACACACACACACACACATGAACACACACACACACACACACACACACGCACACACACACACACGCATGCACGCATGGACGCACGCACACACACATGCACACGTGTGCGTGCACACACATACACACACAGTCACACACACACACACAGACACAGACGCACACGCACACATACACACACACACACACACACATACACACACACACAACACATAGATATCAGCAACCCAGTGCACCTGGTGCATACACAATCTGAATGGCTCTATCGAATGCTCCTTCTGTGCCTTACTTGTTTGGAGCTTCTGACCTGCAGCGATGGGAAGAGGGCCAACTTCAGTGGACCCCTGCCGACCACCATCACACGAATGACGACCCTTGAGAGATTGTGAGTACTCGTGTATTACTTATGAGTTCTCTAGAAGTGACACCACCACCAGCATGGCCTATTTCAGTGTCCCTGCGCATGAAGCCAAGAGCCGTAAAAGTCTGTGCTCAATCCGTGGAGGGAGATGCCTGCTGTGTGATGCTCAATGAAGTCAATGCAGTCAATGACGTCTCTCAGAAACCTGGCATGAGAACTTCGAAGTCATGAGGACTCTCGTGTCCATACACGTTCACGCAAAACATGGACGCATGCATGTGTATGTGAAGGTGCTTATGGATCTCACCTGCATATGAATGTGCACATCAGTGTGCATGCGACGTGTAGAATACACCTGAGGGCATACTTACCCTTACAAAGGCGAACATCAAAAGGGAGGGTATGGGAGACCTGCCTGCTGCAGCCCCTCTTTACCTTCACCTACATGACCAGTACCACCAGTGCCACTTCCTCCCTTTTCACATTATACTTGGTTCAAGTCTCCGATTGCGCCTCACACCCCTTTACCATCCCATCCCACCATGTGTGTGTGTCACTGAGAGGACCTCACTCACTCGTGTTAAGGTAACCCCTTGCCTAACTTGTCACCATCTGAATGCAAATGGAACTGGCAGGAATCTGGCCCACAACCGCTTGAGTGGGCCCATTCCCACTGGCTTTGCCAACCTTACCAGCTTGACAATGCTGTAAGCGTTTGCACATAGTTCAACTGTTTTGTTTGTTCCTAACAAGATTTGCACAGCTTCAGCTGTTTTGTTTCTTGACCACTGGTGCACACACTTAACCCATTCCAGTTGTATGGCATAAGTTGTTGAGTTGCTCCTGATTGTGTCTGCCAAAGTCAAAATTCACCGTGTGTGGTATTACATTCTGATGCTCCATGTGTGAAATGCATGCAGCATTTTGAACAACAACAGCCTCTCAGGCGAGCTACCTGCTGAGCTGGGCCAGAACCCTGCTCTCAAGGACCTGTGAGCACTCACGCACTCAGCGCTTGTGCACATACCTGCTAGCGTTGTCTTATCACTTAACGTCCTCAGGCCTCAAAATAAATTCATGATAATTTCTCTCGTAATTTCCATACCCCCTGGATATGTCCCCACGCTCCTCCTGTTATGATGAAAATTCTTTTTCTCCAGCGGTCTTGGCAGCAACTACCTGAGAGGATCCTTCCCTGAAAGCTTCTCTAGCCTTACCAACCTTACCAAACTGTGCGTGCGCTCGCAGCTGATGCAAAAACAAGCCGTCAAGCCAGCCTAGGCACTTGGCTTTGTTAGAATAAGGCTGTCAACACTTTGTGTACTATATTCTATATCACGTAGGTTATTTGCGGGTTGGGTGTAGTTTGTAATCCCAACCCTATCTGGTTGGGATTCCCTCGTAATCCTGGAAATCTGCCAACTCACCAATTGGAGATTTGCTAGGATTCTCATCCCATCCTTTCCCTAGCCTTGCTCAACCCCATCTCGTTTGTACTTGAGGCCTAGTGCCTTCTTTACTAATCAATCAGTTGAGCTCCATTTCTATCAGGCTTGTCATATCGTTACCACCGAATATGATGCCCCTAGGAGTACATGCTGCCAATCTGTGGGCCAATGCGTTATCATGCAATGCCAGTAGGAGCTAACCTGTGAATATCAACATGACAGCTTCAGATGGTAGTCCAGCTTTATAAAAGGGCCTATTCTGGAAAACCACTCTCAACCCAACCCCTTTGTGTGTCCCACGGCATGGCCACTGCAGGGTCCTGAGCAACAACTCTCTCTCTGGCTCTCTTCCTACCACCATCAGCGCTCTTACCTCCCTCAGCATCCTGTAAGTTCCCTGTGCTCTGTTTGCCCTCTGTTCACGCTACCTGCATCTTGTGTTCTTTGTTTCTCCCGATAGCATCTGGGTTGTTGGGACATGCGTGTGGATTTCAGTGGATAACACGAAACCTTCATTCGGGTGCTGCTTTCGCTCCTGCCGCCGCCGCTGTTGCTGCTGGCTGCTGTTTTCTTTTAACAAAACACAGCTTATTATCAAATTGCCTTCTCTTGTATGACACGGTATGGCGTGGGTGCACTGTATTATGCCGTGCCATGATATGTTGCATGCATGGTTGGGAATGATCACATCACAGGTATTTGCAGAACAACAACTTTGAGGGGTCGCTGCCCAATCTCCCATACAATGTATCGGCAGTGTACGTATCTCATAAATTGCATACCACATGCCAACCTCTTGCTTGCACTGCTGTACTTGTTTTCGCAGTATCTCTCTAAGTTCCATGTTCAGTGCTATCATAAGTTGAAGAAGAAGAAGAGAAGAAAAAACACACACACACACACACAAAGAAATACATGAGAGCAGCTGTAAATTTACCGTATACGGTGGCGTTTCTATTGCAAATTGCGTACCACATTCTTCCTCTGCTATGTCCATGTTCTGGTGGCAAAAAACAGAGATTTCAGCGGCAACAACTTCACAGGAGGATTTCCGTTGTACTCTGCACAATTCAGCAGCCTTGCCTCATTGTACGCATGCGCTGGCGTTACCACTCTCACTTTCACTCCAGCACTCCAGTGCTGGAATCTACCCGCAGCTTTGCACTGCATTTTTATTTGTGCATGGCACTTCAAAGCTGACGAAGCCAGGTTAGACCACGTGCCACCCACTTCCGGCTGGCGGACCGTAAACTCCAGCAGTCTTTGCCCTTACTTCCCTTGTTTCTCACATTCGGTCTGGCCTTCCAGAGCCTCACAGATGCACATATGCAACAGTTATTTATTACACCTGTTGCTTATGTATGCTATCTCTTGCACCATCAACCACGCCCTTGCCCTCGCCCTCCCCTTGCCTGCAGGAACGTCAGCAGCAACAGGCTTTCCGGCTCACTTCCTTCAGAGCTCGGCAATCTCGTGGCCCTTACATCCCTGTGCGTGCCACTGCAACCTCTTTACTCCTTGCATCCCCACCCTTGCATTTCTTGTCGATGCACCAGCAGCGTTTGCAACCCAAATGTGCACCTCCTCACACATCTCCTCCACACCTCCTGTCCTGTCACCCATCTGCCAAGCAGCAACACGAGTGGCAACCACTTCTCAGGCGCCATCCCGACCTCTCTCCAAGCCCTGAAACTCCTTAGCTTCCTGTGAGACCATTTTTTTCCATCATTCATGAAACCTCCATGTGGCTTCTCATGAACGCCGGAGAATCATGTGTTGACACGAGGCTTATTTTCATCATTTGTTGACACGTGGCTTTTTTTAAATCATGTGTTGACATGTGGCTTCTGAATTATGTGTTGACTCGTGGCTTCCAAAACCACTGTATGTGGTCACATGGCTCCACCCTTGCTAACTCTGCTCTTCCTTTCGCTGAACCTTTCTGTCTTTCTGAAAACCCACGTGGCATGCTGTAATTTGCAGGGATTTGAGTGGCAACTCTCTAATTGGTGGCATTCCAGACTTCCTGAGCGTGCTCACGCTCTTACAGAGGCTGTGAGTGAACCTTACAGAAACCTTACTCATCGTGTGGTGCCTGTAAATGAGAGAGCGACACTCCAAAGTACTCTCAATCAATTCATGTGCCAAAATCTATCATCCACACCGTTTAGATAACACTTTATTTCAGTCGTTCGCCTACATACCATCCGTGCTGCACATATCGGCGCTATATGCTGCTGAACGTGCTGTGCTTCCTTTCTTCTTGACTCACCCTCACTTTCCCTGCTGCCCGCACAGAAATCTCAGCACCAACTCGTTTTCTGACACGCTTTCTACATCCCTGGGAGCTCTGGACCAGCTGACGTGCCTGTAAGAGTCACTTAGCTAAGCTAGATACTTGAAGGCCATGTCTTGTAAAGCAAGACCAGCCTTAGATTCCTGAAATAAGGGCCACAAGGCCAACTCTTACAAGCATGAGACAAGCTTGGGTTGTAATCCAACTGGACTCAAATAATGTATGTACACCTTGTATCAGCTTGTGTTAAGTGCACGTTACACTGCAAATTGCATTGTATCACATACTGTAAGATCTCAAAGCGAGAGTTCATGAGTCACTATGGTGCAACGCAATTGCAAGGCACTTCTGATTCTTTATGTCCTTCTGTTGATTTCGTTCAATACATAAAGGCGTTGCTCAAGATGCATGATTTGGTAACCTGTTTAACAGACAGAAAGAAATTATACATACACGTGAGTACCGAAAGACTTCCACTTATGGAGGAGGGGTGACAAGTTTAACAAACTAAAATGCTAGAGGGATGTCAGAAGAATATCAAAGCACGTACCAAGAGCTCAGAGAATGCCACCCTACAACAACATGCATGTAAGAGTGCCTACTCTGTTATGATCTAGATTTTTCTCAGGCCTCATTTTTGTACTGGCCTTCTAGAAGCTGTGTCTTCCTTTCAGCTGCTTTCCTCTGCTGAAAGTTAATTCTTGTCATTAACAATTGATATATCTACTTGCAAGTCTCACTCCTCAGCGCCTTCTCACACTTCCTCTCTTCCCTCTCCCCTCCACAGTGACTTGAGCGGCAACCAGCTGTCTGGGTCAATCCCTTCTGCCTTTGGCGGTCTCACCCTGCTCGTGCACATGTGAGCGATGCACCTCTGAGTTTGATGCTCCTGTGAGAGTGATGCACATGGAGGGTGATGCACATGGAGGGTGATGCACATGTGAGCGATGCACATGCGAGTGATTCCTGCTCATGCGGAGTGATGGCCATGTGAATGATGCGCATGTGTGGATGCATGCGTTCATCTACCCACCCGTAACGTGTCCCGTATTCTTCCAATCGCATGTATGCCAATACCCCTCCTAGGGACATGAGTCGCAACAACCTCTCAGACTCCATCCCCACCAGCATCGGCCGCCTCTCAGGCCTCACCTCCCTGTACGCCCAGATTGGTTCATGTGCTCCTCATCATCCTAATCATCCTCATCATCCCCATGATCCCCATCATCCCCATCATCCCCATCATCCCCATCATCCCCATCGTCCTCATGATCCCCGTCATCCCCATCATCCTCTTCATCCTCATCATCCCCATCATCCCCATCTTCCTCATCATCCCCATCATCCCCATCATCCTCATCATCCTCATCATCCCCATCATCCTCATCATCCCCATCATCCCCATCATCCTCATCATCCCCATCATCCCCATCATCCTCATCATCCTCAATGCCCTCCTTAAACCACTGTGGCTGGTTACCATGCCATGATGGCGCATTGGGATAATGGCCCACTGAGATATTAAACCCTACTTTCAGGCATTTCCAGTGTACTTGCAAGGGTTTTCAGTGGAAGCACAGGCTGCTGCACCGGGCCATGCCCCCCTTCCTCCCTCTCCTCGCCCTTCTTTGCATGCCCACCATGCCCTATTGCTGGGCATGAACCTCTCACTCACGACCGTCAATGGATACCCCCATGCGTACCTTCAATCATCCTCCACGCCTCACATCAACTGTGCAGGAACCTAAGCCGCTCAAGCGTCACAGGTCCCATCCCCGACTCCTTCACCTCACTCTCCAACCTGGTTTTCCTGTGAGATACCCAGCAGTAGACTCTCAGCATCAAACCTCCAAATCGCTGCTCCCGCAAGCCATTACTAGAACTGTGTGGCTGTTACAAGCCATCACAGTCAGCAAGCCACTTGCCGCATTTCACAGTCGCCAAACAGCTGCTGAAATGCACATGTTTGCAACCCCACTCAACAATGCCTCCTAAATCGCATCTCAAATTGCATTTACCGAAGAAGCTGTCAGCTTGCATAGACATGTGGAGCCTTAGCTGATATGGACTGGGATACATAGCAGTTAACTGCGCAGTTCTGGATCGTTATGTTTTTGTCATAGTGTCCAATATCTTTGGGGGAAAAAAACATTTTCAGGCTGTAACCAAGCTGCTCTTCTCTGAACTGCACTGCAGGGATCTGAGCTACACAGGGGTGGCTGGGTCAGTGCCATGGGGCATCAACAGCCTGGGGCAGCTGCAGGCCTTGTGAGTCACTCCAAACCCTCGCAGAGGAGTAATTAGAGAGTTTGCCAGGAAAAATGGTTGTTTCAATGCACGCTGGTACATGAGTGATTATGTTTTACGGTCTCCCTATCTATTAAGGCTTATAAAGCGTGAACCTTCTACGCATGATAATTCACGATTTTCAGTCCCCGCCACAGGCATTCAGTTGAGACAACTGTATGTAACACTGTGTACCAGTGATGGCACGGCTCACAACCCTCCACTCCCCCTCCCCCAACCACACCAGGTACGGCACCCCCGGCATCTTCTGCAACGACAATGCCACCTGCCCTGCTGCCCCTACGCCGCCCGCCAGCCCGATGCCCCCTCCTGCGCCACCAGCCAATCCCACGTCGCCAGCTGTCACCGACTCCAGCTCCCCTGCGTCTGCCAACTCGTCTGCGCCCAACGCCACCTGCCACGTGTGCCAGAGCTACTGCCTCGATTGCTCCTCCTCTGCACCCAGTGCGTCTCCTGCTGCTTCTGCTCCCTCAGTCCCTCCTGCACTGCCTTGTCCACTGCACAAGTTCCGTCACCCATTACACCTCGCATTTGTTAAAGTTTCTGCCGTCCTGAACCCACTCTCTCTCTCCCAATACTTTGTGTCTCTTGCTCGTTTGCTCTCCCCATTCTCTTCCATCATCCAGTTCCTTATCTCGTCTGGATTCTTCCTGTACGATTTTCATAAAGTCCCTCCATCTCTCCTTCTCCCACCACCGTATTCTCACAATTCTCTATCACACCACTTGCCTCCTCTGCTCTGCCACCACCACCCCACTCTGAGTAGAAGCCATCGCAGCCACACTTGCACACTCATTCCAAACTCTCATCATTATCATTGCCCTCTCTCCCTTTTTCGGTTCTCCCTCTCCATGCTTCAGCCAAACCCTTGGCTTCCACTAGTTCTCTCTCCTCGGGGGCCATAGCAGCCATAGTGGCGGCGGCACTCATTGCACTCCTTGCTCTCATCGCCCTGATCATCTTGCTCTGGTTCTGCTTCCGCCAAACGAAGCCTGGTAGGATGCTGCAATTTATTATGAACTGAACAAAGCCAAGCCGCCTGTGGGTGGCCGAATTGCCAGTGCATAAACAGACACTCAAAGACATTGCCAGTCACCTCTGCCTCCCTCTATCTTCACCCAATTCTCTCCTCCTCTGCTGATCAGCTTAGTTTCCACAAAACAAATGCCTCATTCCAGCCCCGTTTCTTCCCCATGTCTTGCTTCTCACTCGCGGACATCCAGCAGGCCACCAACTTCTTCTCGAAGGTCAACCTGATTGAGTCAGATCCTAGACAAGTGCTTCCCTCTATCCACCCTCACCCCTCCCTCCATTGTCCACCACCCCTTCTCCACCACCCCCTTTCCCCCCCCTCCCCCCCCCCTCCCTCTCCTCCCCCAGCGTGCAAGCAGTACTCACTGGCGGACATCCAGCAGGCCACCAACTTATTCTCGGAGGTCAACCTGATCGGCTCGGGGGGCTTCAGCGACGTGTACAAGGGCGTGGACCCGCAAGACCCGGAGGGGCTGTGGGCCGTGAAGCGCGCCACGGCCCTCTCCAACGACTTTATGAAGGAGGTGAGGGACATCACATATTTTATGCGGTGTGGGGCGGGTGTGGGCTGTCAAACGTGCCACGGCCCCCTCCTATGACTTTGTGCAAGTGGTTAGCAGATAGGGATGCTGTTTGCAGTACAAAACTGCAAATTCTTAACATGGGAAATGGGTCAGATGGGTTGGGATGAGATTGAAAACCTGGAAGCTTTTCGTTTAAGGTTTTTTTTTTTCAACGGTGTATTTTTTGTCGCTATCTAAGGTGTGAGCACTATGCAGTGAGTAGAACTCTGGCAAAAAACGAATGGTCTCACTGATCTTGGGAAGAGATGAGTACCAACATTGCGAAGGGATTACGTTAAGGGTTGAAATCATTCTAAAGACAAATGGATGGTTGAGCTGTAAAATCTATTGTCCAGAATAGGAGGGGAAATGTCCAAGTTAAGCTATTGAAGTCAACTACTTCTATAAGTCGATTTCAATATGCGTGCCAGCAACAATGAGTCAAATTCAAACATGAGTTGGCTTTTCTTCCCATTTGCACCTTTCACAAACTGATTTTAGGAAGCCCACGCTTTTCAAAAGGAAGGATGCAGATCTTCATGTCTCAAAACCTCACTGTTCTTGCTGCAGCGCGCGAGGCTGCTAGTGGTGCTGGGTACTGCATCAGCTACAACTTGGCTCTCACGCACACCTCGTTCTTTTACTTGGTCTTCCTGACCATCCTCCCTCTCCCAGGTGGCAGACTTGTCACGGCTGAAGCACCCAGCACTGGTGCCGCTGCTGGGGTACTGCATTGACTACAATGAGGAGACCCTGCAGATGGAGCAAATCATCGTGTCTCAGTTCATGCCCAACGGGGATCTCTCCCAGTGGACCATGCCAGGTGCGATTCGGCCAGCAGGGCTTGTTCAATAAGGGTTGATGAAAGGCGTTCACATCCTTCAGAATACAAAGGATGGCAGTACACTTCGCATGATGGTTCATAGTATAATAAAGATAACGTTGACAAGAAAGGTAATGATACTGTATATGTATATATATATACATATTAGTGGTGATCCAATGAAAGAACGATTCATATTCAATAAATATGTCGAATGATGACGTATGTCGAATGATGAGGGAGGCAGTTGGGAGAAATCAATAGAGGGTGGAAGAATGGGGAGCCCTCCCATCCCATCCCTCTATACTCCCATTCCCCAAGCCCTCCTCTCACTGCTTCCCCATGCCCGTGCCTTTCAGGAGCCAAGCCTGCAAGCACCTGTTCTGGAGGCCCTATTCATTTTTCCATGTCTGCACCGCATCTCCCGGGAGCCAAGCCCACGACTTCATGCCTCCATTCCTTCATTCCATCGTGCCCTCTTCATTCTCCTACGCCCCCACCTCCCAGGAGCCAAGCCCATGTCGCTGCGTGTGAGGCTGGCGGTGCTGGTGGACGTGGCGGACGGGCTGAGCTTCCTCCACAGCCGTCGGATCGCGCACCGCGATGTGAAGCCGGCCAACGTGCTGCTGGATGCAGACATGCGGGTGAGGCCAGAGCTTGAATGACTGACTAGGCGCGGGTGAAAAATGTGCGCTGGATGCAGACACGTGGGTGAGTCATCCAACAGTACTGCATCAGTTTAGGACTCCTGTTTTGCTTCCATTTACTTCGTCACTGTTCCATATACTTCTTCACTGTTCCATTTAATTCTTCACTGTTCCATTTACTTCGTCACTGTTCCATTTACTTCTTCACTGTTCCATTTACTTCTTCACTGTTCCATTTACTTCTTCACTGTTCCATTTACTTCTTCACTGTTCCATTTACTTCTTCACTGTTCCATTTACTTCTTCACTGTTCCATTTACTTCTTCACTGTTCCATTTACTTCTTCACTGTTCCATTGTCACTTGGCCCTGAAACCGCAAATGTGTCCCCTTCTTTCTGCAAACTTCTAACAATCTCCCTCTCCTTCACCTCTCCTCCTCCTTCATGCCATGCCACACACCTCTTGGAGAGCATCTCTCAACCAAAGGTGGTGAATTCGGGTTAACCCATCTCCTCCCTTCCTCCTCCATCACAACACCACCCACCCTCCCAGGCGAAGGTGGCGGATTTGGGGTTCATGCGGAGATGGAAGCGACCCACAGAACCCTTCTCTACAGCTCGAGGAGCCACCCTGTTCAACTTGTCCTGCCTGTTCTCACTCCCTCTCTGTCGCCATGCGATGCACCATTTCAGGCGAAGGTGGCGGACTTTGGGTTCATGCGGAAGATGGAGGCGACCCAGGTGAACACCACGAGGGTGATGGGCACACCGGGCTATGTGGACCCCGAATACCTCCAGACCCGCCTTGCCACCACCGCCACCGATGTATACAGGTGAGCGGTGCTGACCGGTGGTGGTGCCTTGGTGCTGCATCGTGTGGGCATGGGTGATGGGAGCATCAGGCAAAATAGCACCACGGCATCATGTCATCACTCCCACCAGCATGCAAAAGTGTCTTGTGATCTGCATGGGGTGGATTTTTTTTAGGCTTGAGGCGCCTAAAAAATACGCTCTCCAAATAGCACCACGGCATCTTGTCACTCGCTACCACCAATACGCAAAAGTGTTTTGCAAACAACAGAGGGTGGATAACTGTGTGCCTGGCAAACGTGCATTTGTGTGCATCGTCGCATTGCCAGCTGTGAATCTGCAGCAGCTGCTGCGGATCCTCGCTGAGCATGACTCCTTTCTCCGCCACTACACCGACCGACTACCCGTATCTCAGTTGACTAATAATAACAACGAATTCTCCTTCAGCACCACTTCTCTCTCCTCACTCATCTCTCCTGAACGACCACCCCCGCCCTTTCCCTCAGTTTCGGAGTGCTACTGCTGGAGATGCTGACCGGTAGGGAGCCAATGCTGTCAATCGATGGCTCACAGTCACACATCCGGGACTGGGTGAGTCATTCTTGAAACACCTCAAAAGCCCGTTCTTTCAGTCGATGCCATGAGCACATTCAGGAGTGGGTAAGTCATTTTTCTTATCCGAGTGCTCCAACCAGTGCCTTGCAATTCATCCTTTCTTTTGATGGCTAGCATCACACATCGTAGAATGGGTGTGTTTCATTTTCCTCATCTGTATGCCGCAGTCCACTCGCTGCCTCGGATGACTGTTGAGTTGACTAAAATTCTCTCTCTTCGCACCCACTCTCTCCCATAATGCAGGCGGCTGCCGAGCTCTCCAGTGGTGACATCAGCTCCATTATAGACCCTCGGATGGTCTCCCCTGCAGCATCTGGTGCCAGCATTGTGCATGCTGATGTCATGAAGAGCCTTGCATCCCTGGCACTGGCATGCACGGCCATGCCTGCTGCCTCTCGTCCCCCCATGGCCAAATTGCACTCACAGCTGAAGCAGCTGCACGAGGAGGTGGTGAGGCGGGAGGGGGAGAGCATATCGCAGCAAGGGAGTGGGCTGGGGGGGCTGGGAACGGGGGGAGGGAGTTGGCTGCAGAGGGATAACCGTGTGTGCCCTGCAGCTGAGCCTGCGGTAAGGAGTGTGAGTGTGGTGAGGGGAACGACGGATGACGAAGGCAGTCCTGAAGAGGATGAGAGCTTGACTGTTGGGGAGGGGACAAGTGGAGAAGCAAGTAGGAGCACGGGTGATGACCACAACTGAACGGACCACGTTTGAGATATTATGGTACAGTGTGTATAAATACCATATGGTATGTTGAAAATGCGAAGCTTTTATGCAGATCCAAGCGTTTGAGTATGAATGGGGTACACGCAATTAAGCAAGATTGTTCTCCACAATGCGGAGATGTGTCTTAAAAAGAGGAGTCGCAAGTGCTACAAATTGAGTTCGTAAATTCCATCATTGTTAATTTCTACTGCCCCATTCAGTTAGAAAATCTATTTCATTATACGTGCATCCACGGCCCTGATTGATTGAAGTGCGTTTTTGCTTGCCTAGGTGCGTCCACTGCTGCCGCACCCCTCTCCACTCTCAACTTCTGTGCCACCCATTGCTTCTTTCGCAACCGCACCACCCTTTCGCTGCAACCAGCTTCTATCGCAGCTCCGTGGCCGACCCCGCATCTGGGCCAGTCGTCGCACGCAGGGCTTCTGCACTCCCTTGTCCAGCATGCAGGGTAGCACTCCAGTTCGCTAACCAACTGAGTTAAAAGGGCATGTTTCCTTGGTGGGTCAGTGCACACATAACCCCTTCGACCCATTCCAGTGTCCATTTCCAACACTCCCCTCACCGAGAGGGCCCACCACCAGGGCACAGGAAATCGTCGACAGCAGAAATCGAATCCTGATCCTCCACAATCACCGCACCGTGCAAGGATAGCACTCCATTTCGCTAACCAACTGGGTTGATGGGCATGTTTCCTTGGTGGGTCAGCGCACCCATACCCCCCCTCCCCCCCCCCCCCCCCTGACGACACCCGCAGCCCTTGGGGAGACCACTTCGGACCATTCCATTGTCCATTTCCAGCATGGCAGTCCCCTCATAGGTCTACACATCTCCTCATTCTCCAGGAACTTAGTGGGTGCCAGTCGCCATCAAGACCTCGACATCATTACCACGTTTCTTGGGCACGAACGGTGTGCGTCCTCTATGGATGCTTCCTGTGAGAGGATCAAGACTTTACCTCAATGTTCAATAAGGAACCTAGGCATGACTACGTGACTATAGAGGCACGATACAAGGCAGGTAACCTGGATGTTACAACAAGGTGTCGAGGCTCCAAAACTGGCGGGAATAGAGTCTTTCAGATCTGGTAGAGTCATTCAGTAAATAATCATGCACATGAAAGGTCACACGAGATAATGCGAGATAGTGCTAGAAAACAGCACAAAAACGGTGCATAGAATCATATTTGGTGCAATAACCGAATAAGAGCTAATAGGAAAGGAGCGCATAAATCAAAATAGAAATCCGAAATAGGATAATCAGGGAGGAACGGACGCACACTCTCACACTACCACTAGAGCACCTCTTGCAACGTTCCCTCAAGATTTTCCCAAACTTTCCACGATGTACACTGCATCCACCCACGTTCCTCGTCTGGTCAGGTAGTTGTGCCGTGATCGTGTCGGTCGCTCACTCACCCGTCGCTCCTGTGTCACTACCGTCTAGGTCACCCCGCTCTCCCGCGTCTCCGTCAAATGGTTCAGCATGGTCTTGTCTCTGGTCTCCCGTCGTCACTCCCCGCTCTCCGGCCCCCGTATGTGCCACCGTGCACTCCATGCACGGAGGCGAAGCAGTGCGCCGCCCCTGCCTCCTCATTGTTTACCCCCATGATTGCGCCACTACAAACACTGCACATGGACGTGTGGAGCCCTGCTGCCATCCTTGGGCCACACCGGGAGCACTTCATCCTGGTCATTGTGGACCATTACTGCCGCTATATAATGGTTCTTCTATTAGAGTGGACGGCTGACATACCTGGCGCTCTCCTTCTATGGATATTAGCCGTCTGTGCCCAGCGCGCCCAGCTTGTGCTTGGTCTACACTGCAACCGTAGTGGCGAGTTTGCCTCCAGTTGCTTTGGCAGGTTCTATTGTGCAGAAGGTATCACCCAGGTTGTTGGAGTAGGCTAGAGCTAGCTTGGATATCATGGCTTTATTCTGATATTTCGCCATGTTTAGAGCAAGTTACGCTTTAAGGTTTGTCATATTTGCATTCCGTGTGAAATGGTAAGGGGAGGAGCAAATGGGGGTATACAGAATGTACATATTTTACATAATGAGTGAAGCGGCTAGCAAGGATGGGAGGCGAAGAGTCATAGGACGTTTCAAGGGATGAGGAGTGAACGGGGGAACTGGCCTCTGCTGACGCGAGGGGTGATGGAAGGGGGTGGATCTGCATGGGGAAGTTCCAGTGAGGCGGCACTTACGTAAGCACAAGAGGATTGAATGAAACTCTACAGCACTCAGCAAAGGCAGTGGGAAAGAGGTCGGGGAACGGCGGTGGATGGGTGTTTGTGTGCTTGCATGGTTGTTTGCCCTATTGTTCGTAGGTACACACCAAGAAGCCAGTTGGATCAGCGCAGTTCCAGCTGGAGGCAATGAGATTAGAGGCAGGAGGGTTGGCAAGAAGTAGCACGGATGCAAGCCTGCTCAAAGACAATCTTAGTTGTCGACGACTAGGCTAGGAATGATGGGACGAGCGCAAGGAGGAGGACTCGCTGGTAGAATTGGTGGATTATTGCTGTGTGTTCATCATTGCTAGTATGTTTCCTTTCAACACGAAATTCTTGTTGTGAACTGAGCAAGTAGGACCTTAAGGAGATAAGGCAAGCTAGCACAAGGTAGGAGTAACTACAAGTGAGATTATGTGAGGGAGCTTGGAGCTCATCACATACAAGCAATCTTAGTGGAGGGAATGCCCACGAGATACGGACTGGATTACGCATCGAAAGAGGCGGCAAGGGAGATGGGAACGATGGATGGTGACGGAAAGAATGACAATAGCCAGGGGGCGGAGACGTAGGGCGCCGAGAGACAGAACGCGGCGAATCGGGAGAGAGCCATGGGCTCGGATGAGGAGCGCAATCCGACACACAAATTGGAGAAGGGAGCGACCAAGGACGGTGTGGCATGGCCCACGTCAGAGGAAGGAGGAACGGTTGGCGGAGCCGGCAAGCAGGGCGAGCGAGCCTATCAGCGGAGCGCGTCCTGGTAGGGCTCGGAAGAAGAGGCAACGTCCTTGCGATTGCGCTACACGATGCTTCCTAAGGTGGAGGTCCCGGAAAGGTTCTCAGGCGAGACACGCTGCGAACCCTCCCTGGAGAACTATCTGATGCAGCTAGAGAACCTGAGGGCAATGTGGGAGAGAGATCGCCTTGTGGCGGATGAGTTTTTTCGCGGACTGGCGAATACTGTGACGGGAGAAGCTGAAACCTATTACCGCATCTGCATGAGGGACTTACTGGAATGGGCTGCAAGAGGAAGGCCAAGAGAATTGGATCCGACGGTGCAATTTCTAGACATACTAAAGGAGCAGTTCCCGCTGCAGACCCCAGAGTGCGTTGTAGAGTTCCGGGAGTTCAGAAAGAGACCGGGGGAATTGCTGCTGGCGTACTACGGGCGCCTCGTTGAGGGCCGACTCATGAACAAGTTCCTAAACAGAATGAATTACGAGCTGCAGCATGACGTGCAAGTGAAGATCTTCGACCTGGGAGCAAATGCAACATTAAGGGAAGCCTACGAGGCGGCTAAGCGGGTGGAGATGGGGAGAAGACTGTTCGAGGTGGAGCGCACGGTAGAGCAAGCGCCAGAATGGCAAAGGCCAGCCTGGAGTGCGGCGCCAGTTGAAAGAGACCGGCCGCCGAGAGGAACCGCGAATGTGCGAAAGTGTCACAACTATGGCAAGTCAGGGCATCTGAGGTAGGAGTGTTGCAACCCACCGGCGTGTTCCATCTGCGGACAAGAGGACCATTTGAGGCGCGACTACCTGGAGGCACCGGTGAGTGGTAAATGTGGACGTAAAGGGCACGCGGACCTGGACTGCTATTCATGAAGGGGAGAAGGCTGGGGAGACAACCGTAGGAGGAGCGAGATGGCAGAGATGCGGGCGGAAATCGAGAGGTTACAAGCACAGCTAGAAGGACACGAGGCGGGGAGCGAGAGGAAGCAGGCTATGGTGGCGAGGGGGGGAGAGGAGGAAAGCAGCGAAGAAGAATTCTGCCTGATGGCAAGGCCAGCACGGGATAGGGAAGAGCTGGGATTGAAGCTGAAGGTGAGGAAACATGAGGCCGCAAAATGAGGAAGGGAAGGAGTTAGGCCCAAGGAGGAGGGCGGAAGCAGAAGAAAAGCAACACCCGCCGTGTCGCCACCCGCTGGAGCGACTCAGCTGCGCATCATCCGTCTTGGTGGCAGAAAAGGGATACATCACTGTGGGGGGCATCTCGGTGAAGCAGGTGATCATAGACACTGGGGCGCACCCAGTGCTCATTGGGAAAAGGCTCGCGGAATAGCTGCAGCTAGACAGGCTCAAACGAAAGATAGAAGAGGGATTGTTGTTGAATGCACGTCAGTTTGAGTGCATCTCATCCTAACGTCCTGCCAAGTGCTCGTGCTATTTGTGCTTGCATAATTTGCATGAGCATGTGTCATTATGCATGGCTGTTGGATTTTATAATTTCTGTGTTTTTCTCCAAGTCTACATGCTTTATCATGCAGGAGAAATCCATAGCTTTCCAACAATACCAAGATCGCCTTATTCCGACCAAGATCGCCCAAATTACAAGATTTCCAAGTTTTGGAGATTCTATCTTATTTTGAGATGTTATCTATATCGGGAAAAGACTATAAGACGATCTTTGGTTGGGTGGTAAAGAAGGCAACTTTGACCTTTGGATTGGGGTGGCTATAAGTTTCTAGCATGGGTTGCAAATGTTGCAACACCTAGGCAAAATCCAACTAGATTGGATTTTGCATGTGACACCCCAAGGACCTCATGATGGGGGTTGCATCTGCGGAGAGTCACTCTACAATAGTCGTGAGCTAGACTACGGGGGTTGGCACGAACTCTAGTTGCTTGCGTTCCTTAGCACTTGCACATTCACTGGAGAAGTCGGCAAAAGTTTCCACTAGCAAAGTTGGGATTATAGAATGATTGCATTGACAATGACAAGAATGACTACATCAGGCACCTTGCAGCTC